AGTTGATTGCAAATCACTCAAGACGTCAAGTGATTTTAGCATGTTACTATTCTTGAAAAACAAATATGGAATGCATACCACACAGAACAATAAGCAAAACATCAAAACACCGATTCCACAACGCAGTTCTTTCGCAATCATTCTACCTTTCCCATTGTCACTACCATTATCTCCAGGAAGCATTGTGGTGAGTTCTCATCTACAGTACCCGGACACAGTGTAACATACGAGACACTAGAGTTGAGTGGCATTTCACGTGATTTTATATGAAGACTTATATTGGCTGTGAGTGTTAAGTTACAGAAAGTACCTACTCCCTGCTATTGTAAATGCGATTGTATGAGTGGCCAAAACAACCCTGAACATTCTCTATAACAAAACACATGATGCCATCTAAATTAAAGTGTACAATACATAAACGTGTATTATAAGAATGGGTAAACCAATTACTATTGTGATTTTTTATTTGGTGTTATTTCTATCTACTAAAAAGTGTATAAATATTTCATGAAACCATTAATAATACTTGCTACCACCTTTAGTTTATGTTTATTGTCAATGTCATCTTATAACGAGTCGGCTATTATTAGACTTACCATTATTATTCAAGTATGAATCGCATCACCCATAAAATACTTGTAATATGAAATTACCAGACACAGGATTTAGCCCTTATCTGTTATCAGGATCGACGTCAAAGAATATGCGAATACGGATATCGAAACACGTATAATGCAGAAAAACTAAGTTTTCAAACAAGCGTTGATTTCAAATGCACATCGATTTCCTGTTATTCGCAATGTACATATGTATATCTCTTATGGGTGGATGGACTTAACAAGGTCATGTTAAATCAAAAGATAATCAGAAGAGTAAACCTTAGTTATGTAAGATTCCAGGGACAACTGTTACGTTGCTAAAATTGCTACCTTCACATGGCGAAATTTGTAATCCTTTGTATTTGTAGAGGGTTACAGCAGTTGCGTTCACGTTAGTCGGGACCCACTCGTGACCGATTCCGCTCGTGCCGAAATCACGCCCTCATTCTTCGATTTGTTATTTGATCCAATGTAGCATTGCTAGCACTTAAACATGCGTCATTCATTACTACAGCATCCGATCATATCTAGCTGCACTACTCATCAATGTCACATTAGTATGAATCAGTATATGTTCATTTAAATTCACCACCGAGGGCGTGATTTTGGTTCGTGCAGACCGTTCAGGCAGCAAATCTATTGAAACCGAGATCGATTTTTTTCGGCACAGGTTTCGGCATGTGCCAACTCGGCCCGAGTCTCGGTACGTGTCGAGAACTCTGACGTAAATTCCACCATACTGCCAAAACAACTTGCTTAGGTGATCTCAAATAAATTACATCAAATGTACGAAGGTGTCATATTAATAGTGAAGCCATACTTGTCTTCCACCAATCAATACGAGTATCGATTGAAACTTTGAAACAAGGTTTGCCCTTGACCCCAAATTTGGTTTTGAAGATGATGTTGGAATCTTGGCTGAAAATCCATCTTAGATGCCAATTACTGTATAACCTCCGAGCGAACAGCGCTGGACTCATGAAAAGTTGCTCATAGTTTTGTTCACAATTGATGAATCATCCAGCAGGAATATGGGCTTTGCTATCAGAAGTTAGAGAATTAGTGGAATCCATGATCTTACTGAGAAATTCGGATTGCCGCTGTCAATGATGTTGGCTATAGCTGTTACATAAATACTGCATCAAAGTTTTCCAACAATTTCGACATTGGGATCCAAGTGATATATAACATATCAGCAAATTTTGCAGTTTCTGCTGAAGCGAGCAGAATTACCAAAAGCTGTCCCACAAGGATGGACAGACTTTTGGGAGACTTGACAGTCATTATTAGGGTACAACTACTTCTGCATTGTTTCTGATCATTGCCTTCCAACTTAATTCCCTTCTTGCTGAACCAGAGAAACATCTGTCCTTTTTGGGTTCATGACAAATGTCATTAATATTGAATGGCACATCGGACTAGAACTTCCAGAAAGTGTATTCGGCCTTTTTTTGAATGCTATCAACTCAAGTTTATATGAAGTCTTGTTTGCTTAGGTTGCCACTCACCTGACTTTCAAGCTTACACGTTAAGCTGTTGACTACGAAGGTTATATGGAATGTATGACTAAAACGATGATCTGTCCACTGTGTCCATAGTACTGCCAAATCAGGCATACCAGAGGGCTGCTCAAAAAAGAATTTCTCGCATAGAATTCTTTACTGTTGATTACCCATAGTGCATTGTGCTCCTGCAGGGGCTAGGAAAAACTTTTGTTGATTTACTATTAAACTAAGTAAGTTCAAGACTATAATCTAACTTGTTTTGCGGGAATGTGCTTGTACCGTTTTCCATTGGCTTTGTAATGGCTAGTCCTCTAGATAGGATATACTTCAGTGCTGTGGTACTCTCAGTAATAGTGATGTGATATTGGGCAAATGTTGCAATGGAACTTTATTTTCTGATTCATGAAGCACTAGTATTGACGACTACAATGACGACTATGAATGCAACGTGCATTATTCACATTTATTCCACTAATATCACCTTTTTCAAACAAGAACGTATAACAAGTACAAGGATAATTAAGTACGAATAAACGAATTACAAAACTTTCCTACAAACATCGCTTATATAATATTAAAAACGATGCGACCTTTAGCATCATGCCCGCCTGCCATAAACCGATGAGCCTCGCTGGCCACTTTCAGTGGAAAACTCTTCCCATATCAATGGTCTTAACCAACCTTTCTGAATTCCGTCATTGATGGCTGCACCTATATCTCTCCGTTCCGCCTAGACAGACAATGAAAACGACATGTCAGAAATAATATACTCTAAACTACCCCAATGTTTCCATGCTCTGGTAACCTTCTCTTATTAACTTGTAGATCACGTAGATATATATGCAATGAGAGGCTGTAATTATCAAATTGTAATGCGTGTATTATGTAATTGTTATACACTATATACCCTGGACGCAAATGACCTCAGATATCTCGTCGTGAACGAAACACCGCGAGACTTTGCCGCAAACATAGTGTTCTATTGTGTCCCATTGTCGCCAACCAAAGGCGACAGTATTATGCTCAATAAAAATTGAGTAGAAAATATGAAGTACTGCTAGAAATGATTGACAGTAACTCACAAAGACTCATTGGCGTTATCAAATGGTTCAATGGCTAATGATAGAGTTACTTTGGGTTTGAAAAAAAATGCGATGGTCTACATGTTTTAGAAATATTTAATACATCCATTTAAAATCCGTCCATGTGAATGTAGCTGAGGGATTGTGAATGGGTGTATACAATACAACACAAAATGATTAAATATTAATATATTAAAATGAAATATTTGGAAATATGGTTATTTTTGCGATGTACATAATGACTATATGTACCACATGTTAAAAGCGAGACAAATTGTTTGAATCGGGCTTGAGCGCCAATCATGAAAATAAACAGTATTGTAATAAAACAAATCATCATGTCTATAATGTGATTATTTGATGTACCTTACCTCATCACAGGTTAGAACAGACCCTGTAGATCACCCATTCCAGATTATACCGCCAATTAAGATTGTATTATGACTCTAAGATTCTTAGCAATAAATTCAATTCAATGTGTTTTTATAGGGGGTTATCGGTAACCATTTAGTACATGATTTGCACCTCAACTCCCAGGAATAAAAGAATACAATATTTCTATTGAATATACCAAACATAACTCCTTTCATATATAAAAGTAGCTGCAGTACCTAAAAATTGCTTTGTTTGATATACATCTCATACAATTGTAGAATATAGCACTCACTAATCATATTTCATTTTTTCAACCTATAAAAAATCGTGATATGAAGAAATAATTTTCAAACATTTTTCATGACATTTTGGAATCTTGTTTCTTGTGACCCAATTTTTTAAAGGGCGGTAGTCGTCGCGCCACGCATGCGCGAGATATATGGGTCTCATATAAACAAAGATGGCGACTTTGACTATTGTGCAGATCAACGAGTACAAACTGAAACGTTACGAACTTTAATTAGGTATTTTTTAGTGGTTGGATGGTATCAAAGGAGTCATCGGCCGTAATTAGTGCAAGTCGCACCCAGGTAAAACCAGGGGCGTCGATCCATTCTGAAAAGTGAGGGGGAAACTTTTGTGTCCCCGTAAGCGGCCAATGTCCGCGCTTGCGCGAACAGGGGGTGTCTGAGAAAGGGGGAACTGCCCTATGTTCCGACATCTCTATGTTCCGACACC